TATTTTGAGAACAATTCTAATTGCATGAATATTAACATGGCAATCATGACTCCCTTCTTTTCAATGAATATAATCATTTCAAGTACCTATGGCACAAATTTTAACAGTAACAGCAAGCACCTCAGTCAATTAGGTCATGATTACACACATATAAAAAGTTTACATGATTATATTAACTACATTCTATGAGTAAAGTTATCTTGCAAGCTGATGTGTGTGAATATTATCATGCATAATTGGTGACTCTAATGCATACTTGAAGGAAGTATTTGCAACTTACTCTATACTTCCCAGCACTTACCAGCAGAAAAAAGCTTGACTTATGGGAATTGATGAATCTGTCTGGGATTGACCTTGCTGTTAAATTCACTCCATTGATGCTGCAATATCAAAAGCCTGAGAAAGCATACAAAATAGGTGACACTAGCTTTAGCACTGTCTTCCAAAAAAGAGAAAATCCATCCATTTATCAACAAAACTGATTTAATCTATTTTCAATTCATGCCCACGTGTCAACCGAATCTCTGTGGACAACTATCTGCTGCTTTCCTTGCTATTTTATGTTAGGCTCTTTTCAAGATATAGATATCGCTAGCAGCGTAAGCAGAAAACATGGTAAGCTTAAAATGTCATTGGGTGTTTTTGCGACTTTTACGCATCATTATCATCAATTGAAAATGAGCGAACACTTCTTGATTGTCGCAGCTGCGGCAGGTAGCGATTCTGACCAATTGTATAATAAAACATATATGATCAAGTTTTTCTTCTGTTTTTCGTTCGAGTTTTCAGACTTCGTGATTTAGGTTTTATTTCTTATTTATTTCATTTTGTTTTTTACCTTGATACTTACTTAAAAAACGTATTTATTTGATATACTGTTGTGTATACTACCTAGATGCCGCCACATAAACATAGCGCCATGATCGCAAATTTTGTTGAGAGGGGGCTGGTTTGTTGTGATTTATTTTGACAAATTAATGGACATTTAAAGAAGCTTTCATCGCGAAATACTCTGTAGAATTCCTCATTACTTACAGTGTGTTTCGTGAGTATCCTTTTAAGGTTCTGTTCGTTAAAAAGCCGTCGGTGAAGGAACAAAGACTGTGTTGGAATTGTCTCACTATCGCCATATGTAAGTGTTTAACTTAATGTAGCCCTGTAGCCCATCATTGTTGAGTGGCTTCTTAGTTTTTGGAGTTGTAGTGCTAAGTAAGTTATTCTGATAACTACATTTTAACTTTTATTAACAAACTAATGATGCTAGAGATTCTCTGATCTTTTTGGTTGCGGATTTTTTATGAAAACCCTCCTATGTGTGACATGATGTGATATTGGAAAATTCTCAAGATTCCCAAAATTCAATATCAAGTAGGTTTTCTTTCACATTGCTTAAATTTGGTTTAGTTTTAGAATTTTCCCAGTGGGTTTTGTTTGCATCAGTTTCCAAATTTTCTTAAATTGACATTAGTCGCAAAACCCATGGTAGTCCACAAAGCTCTTGGCCCGGCCCGTCCATAGCCCGTTAACTAATTATATTTGGGAGCCCGGCCCAGCCCGTAGCCCAGCCCGGCCCATGGCCCGTTGGGCTGGCCCGGCCCGTGGCGAACACTGATACACAGTATCACTTCGCTGTAAGTCTGACATAACGCTGTAGGTGTGTCAGATTGCGTTTTTCCTAATGCGAGCGGCCAGGAGGCGGGTGTATGACCCCCTGGCGATTGACTTATATGGCATCTAGAAACACATTATTTAACCCTCGCCCGCACATGCCATTTTCCCATCCTAGAACGCACATGGGGGGGGGGGGGTGGTTGCCACCCCCCGCGCCATTTCGTTCCTGTTGGAGATAGAGCTTAGCAGTAAAGACCAAAAAGATTCTTTGGGAAGAGACGAATCCAATGATACCCAGTTTCACCTTCTCAGGTCAGTCATTGACCTTCCAGGTCAGGTCAAACTAAAAATGTTGCTGTTTTGGGTCACCGTTGAATATCAAGTGTGCTGCTTATCAAATACCGATGACGATGCTGTTTTCTGGTGCCAAGCCAGCTAGAACCTCTTTGTCACACTACCCGACCAGAATTTTGCTGCTGAGGTCATTTCAGGTCAAGTTAGTTCAAGGTCAATTATATGTGTTTGTATGTCTGTGTGTGTCTGTGTGTACACTGATGTGTGCACCGATTGTTTTTGGGTCCATATTACATGAAATCATGATCTGAGAAGCTTTTACCAAAAATGCAGTCAAAAAACTTCAAAAAAGTAGATTCAGCTTGCCTAAAACGCAATTATCTTAGATGACCTAGGTTGACCTTGACCCTGACCTTGACCCCTGTACATCGTCGAACAACATGTTCCATGATAGGTGGGAGGTAAGACTGGCAAAAAAAGGCCGAAATCAGGGTGTCAAAAGCTCACAAGGCCCATGGCAAACGCAAGATGTTGAGAATTGGCCATTTGGGCCATGACATGACCTGAAAAACAAGGTCATATCTCCGAAACCAAAAATCACAGAAACTTGAAATTTTCAGTGGACATCAAGAAAGGATAGAGAAGCAGCTATACTAAAAATCAGCCTTCTAGCTCTAAAAATGTTGAGTGCAGAGCAGAAAGACTACCTGGGGGGGGGGGGTGGCAACCACCCCCCCCCCCATGTGCGGGCGAGGGTTAAAGGGTAGGTACTAGGTGGACCAATAAAAATGTCCCTCCTGTACAACATTGGTAAACCTAGGTGTTAGCGAGCAAATACGTTGGTATTTTTAGGTATTTTCGCAAAGACGGCCGGCGCTCGGAGCGCGGCGGTCGGTCCGCCGCGCCGCGCCGGGCACATACACATGTGTCATCTGGCCCCTGTCCTGGTTCTCAGGCCCACGTGTTGTGCTACCACGAGGGCTGAGACGGGACGGGGGCCCGACAGTCTTCGACGGGACTCCACCGGTGCGCGACGGCCCGGTGCACGACGTGGCCGACGTGGCCTTACGTACGACGCGGCCGACGTGGCCCTACGAAAACGATTCAGTGAAACGCATTTGTGACCGCCGTATTTTGTGCATTTTAACCGTTTTCATTTCATTCAAGAACAGACTTTTTCTGATTTATGTATAAAAGCTTTTCATTCCCCCCTCCCGCTTAACAACTTTAACAACTTAGCCCTGGCCCTGCTGCCGGATTTTTTTCACCCCCCCCCCGGTCAACAACTTTTTTATCTGGGTCAATTTTGAGTCAACTCACTTGACTTAACAAAAAATTTGAGTCAAGTTTGAGTCGACTCATATTTTCATTGAGCCGCTTGAGTCATGAGTCTAGTCAAGGGAAAAATCAGCTCCTTGTTTGAGTCAGAGTTGAGTCAGGGCTTTCTAAAGTTGAATGATAAGTCGAGTCAGCAATTTTTTTTTTGTCGAGCACAACCCTGTTCCGCTGTAACAAAAGTAGTATAATTTTATTCAGGGATTGTTCCAGGTGTTTACCTTTTGACCTGACCTAAAGTGATAGGACGCGAAATGTTCTGAGAATATGTCAAAAGGATGCACCAGACGGTATGTAGAATTTTGCGGCGCACTCTATCTGCGAAAACAGATCGGGGGCTTAACCCTCGCCCGCACATGCCATTTTCCCATCCTAGAACGCGCATGGGGGGGGGGGCTGCCACCCCCCGCGCCATTTCGTTCCTGTTGGAGATAGAGCTTCGCGGTAAGCACCAAAAAGATTCTTTGGAAAGAGACGAATCCAATGACACCCAGTTTTACCTTCTCTGGTCAGCCATTGACAATCCAGGTCAGGTCACACAAAAAATGTTGCTGTTTTGGGTCACCGTTGGACATCAAGTGCGGTGCTTATCATATACCGATGATGATGCCGTTTTCTGGTGCCAAGCCAGCTAGAACCTCTTTGTCACACTACCCGACCAGATTTTTGCTGCTGAGGTCGTTTCAGGTCAAGTTTGGTCAAGGTCAATGATATGTGTTTGTATGTCTGTGTGTGTCTGTGTGTATACTGATGTGTGCAACGAGTGTTTATGTGTCCATATTACATAAAATCATGATCTGAGAAGCTGTTACCAAAATGCAGTAAAAAACTTCACGAAAAGTAAATTCAACTTGCCTAAAACGCAATTATTTTAGATGACCTAGGTTGACCTTGATCCTGACCTTGACATATGTACATCGTCGAACAACATGTTCCATGATAGGTGGGAGGTAAGACTGGCAAAAAAGGCCGAAAGCAAGGTGTCAAATGCTCACAAGGCCCATAGCCAACGCAAGATGTTGAGAATTGGTCATTTGGGTCATGACGATTGACGAGGCCTGAAAAAAACAAGTTCATATCTCCGAAACCAAAAACCACAGAAACTTTAAATTTATAGTGGATATCAAGAAAGTATAGAGGAGCAACTATACGAAAAATCAGCCTTCTAGCTCTAACAATGTTGAGTGCAGAGCAGAAGGAATACCTGGGAGGGCGGGGGTGGCAACCACCCCCCCCCCCCCATGTGCGGGCGAGAGTTTGATCAATCTCCCCCTCCCCAACCCCTGGCCGGGCGAGGGCTGAGATGTAGGTCCGAACTCTCCATTTTGTCGAGATATCCACTAAATAGATTCGCCTCTTCCATCCCTGCACATGTCTGCTGCTCACTTTGGTTTACATTACCGAGCTGCACGCGGTGTCCGGAGGGATGGGGGTGTTCCAGACGGCCGGGGAGGGGGGAGGGGGGGGGGGCTGCTGCACCGCCATCCGGCCCGTGTTATCACGAATCCATGGTGGCCTTCCGCTGACGTCATCAGTCTGGAACGCCCCGCCGCCGCGCCGGCTCACTGGACACGCTAGAGTCTCCTCGCTACGGGACAAGGCCCATTGGAACCCGGACATCCAAGTACTTGACGAATGTAGAGAGTTCCCATTTTATTTTGTTGTTGTTGCTGACTAGCCTTTACGAGGCAACAGTCCACTTACATCAACAGTGTTCCACGAACGCCCCGGCTCCCCATTAGTTACAGTACGACGCCGGTGACCGGTAGGGGCGCTGCAGTCGCCCAGCGGCCCGAGGTCGGCCGTAACCGGTACCATGACTCAGCGGCGCCCCGCCCCGGGGTAATTACATACTGCGCAGTTGCAGCGGTCCAGACCGGGACAAAGGCCGACGGAGGAGCACGAGCTGCACTGCGTCCACCAGGAGGGTCAGTCGACAGAGCGGGTGGTCCAACAGTGTGTGGACGGTACTGAGCTCTGTCCACCGGAGCCGACCACGGCGGAGGCGGCGAATATCAGGTGAGAAGGGCCGACCTGTATGTGAGGGGGGGGGGTCTGTGTGTCCCTGTGTCTGTTGTTGAGTGTGTTTTGTGCGTCTGTGTCTATAGTCAGACAATATGTGTTTATGTAACGGTGTGTATGTGATTCTGTGATTCTTTGTGTGTCTTCTCTGTGTGCTAGATACCCGTCTGAGTGTTTGGATGCCTGTGGGCTGTGCTTACATCAACATGCACCCTCGCCCGCACATGCCATTTTCCCATCCTAGAACGCACATGGGGGGGGGGGGGGGTTGCCACCCCCCGCGCCATTTCGTTCCTGTTGGAGATAGAGCTTAGCGGTAAAGACCAAAAAGATTCTTTGGGAAGAGACAAATCCAATGATACCCAGTTTTACCTTCTCAGGTCAGTCATTGACCTTCCTGGTCAGGTCAAACTAAAAAATGTTGCTGTTTTGGGTCACCCTTGGATATCAAGTGCGCTGCTTATCATATACCGATGACGATGCCGTTTTCTGGTGCCAAGCCAGCTAGAACCTCTTTATCACACTACCCGACCATATTTTTGCTGCTGAGGTCATTTCAGGTCAAGCTAGGTCAAGGTCAATTATATGTGTTTGTATGTCTGTGTGTGTCTGTGTGTATACTGATGTGTGGAACGATTGTTTATGTGTCCATATTACATGAAATCATGATCTGAGAAGCTTTTACCAAAAATGTAGTAAAAAAAACTACACAAAAAGTAAATTCAGCTTGCCTTAAACGCAATTACCTTAGATGACCTAGGTTGACCTTGACCCTGACCTTGACACCTGTACATCGTCGAACAACATGTTCCATGATAGGTGGGAGGTAAGACTGGCAAAAAAGACCGAAATCAAGGTGTCAAAAGCTCACAAGGCCCATAGCAAACGCAAGATGTTGAGAATTGGCCATTTGGGTCATGACATGACCTGAAAACAAGGTCATATCTCCGAAACCGAAAATCACAGAAACCTGAAATTTTTAGTTGACATCAAGAAAGGATAGAGGAGCAGCTAGCTATGCGAAAAATCAGCCTTCTAGCTCTAAAAGTGTCGAGTGCAGATCAGAAAGACTACCTGGGGGGGGGGTGGCAACCCCCCCCCCATGTGCGGGCGAGGGTTAAAGGGACCCTCCCGGCTCCCACCTTCAAAAAAAGTTTATGAATTGCCTTGAAAGTGATGTCGCTCGGTTCAGTAAGAGCGAAAACGAATATCTACCAAATTTCACCGAAAAATATTCACCGGTTTTCAAGATATTAGACTTTTACTTTTGTTTACTTTTTGGGATCTCCGCTGTTCCTAGCGACTTTATTTGGAAGCAATAGTTTGGCAGCTGAAAGGGCGGCACTTGTTGCGCGCCAAGCAGCATATACCACCGCGTGCTACAAAACGTTTTAGTCAAACATTTAAATTCGTTAGATATCTGCGCTGACGTCACACATTCAGAGGGGTATTCCTATGCATTAGCCCCTCTGAGTCAAAATGCTGCAATTTTGACATTCAATATTTCCGATTTAACCCTCGCCGGACCTATTGGTTTTCTACATACGCGCCGGCCGAGGGGGGGGGCGGGTACGACCCCCCCCTCGCCGTTTCGCCCCTGGTGGAGCTAGCGCGTCGCGGAAAAAACGAGCGTGTGCGCCGTTACGAGACGCAGAGATTGGTACCCGATTTTAAGGTCCTAGGTCAACCGGTGACCTCTGAGGTCAGGTCAAGTGCCCCAAGGTACGGTTCAGTTTTTGGTGAATAACTTCGCAAAAAACGGTCGCAGAGCGCCGATTTTGGCAGCATCGTGTTTGTCTCGCTCAGGCGCGTCGAATGATATACTTTTTGTCCGGGTCAGGTCAACTTGGGGTGTTGACCTCAGGTCAAGGTCAGGTCAGCACCCCCAGGTCACGAAGTTGGTCGAAAGAGGTCATGTCGCATATCATTCGATTCGGCAGGTCTTCCTGAGTCCATTGGTGACTTTCCCGACTCGCTAGCTCAATTTGATCAAGAGTTATTGACGAAAAACTAATATGACCTTGATGACGTCATAAATGACGTCACGCAAGGTCAACATTGCAAAAGTGACGCATCTAACCTTGCAAGGAGTGCATAAAATCACGATTCTGTGCGCTTGAGATAGTTGGAGATCGTTCCCGGCGCCAGAATAGCAGTTTTCATTTTTCCCCATTGACTTATAATGGTGAGGTCACGAAAATGACCTGACCTCATATGACCTTTAGGAAAAATCCGAGATATACAAGTTGTGGGACTCATAATGGATACTAGATCCTGCAAGTTTCATTTCCCTGTGACATCTCCTCTGGCAGTGAGAGCGTTGCGAAGTTGCGACATCTGAAGACCGTGCAGAGGTTCACTTATGACGTCATAGGTCAGTGACCTGACCTGACCCAAAAATGCGGTTGGTGTCAAAAGATGCGGCTTAGATCAAAGGTCAGGTATGCCAAGTTTCAGCTCTCTATCGCCAGCGTGTTCGGAGCTATCGCGAAAAAGCCCTATGGGGGGGGGGCGGCACCCGCCCCCCCTCGGCCGGCGAGGGTTAAGGCATTTCTCGATGTTGTGAGTGCCGAAACCGGTAATTGTGAGCCAGGGACCCCATTTTGGCTGTCTCAGCTCAAATCTAATGTTAACCCGCGCACCGACGCGCAACTTCGCACCGACGGGGGGGGCGGATGACCGCCCCCCTCCCTGATATCTCGAGAACGAAGCAAGATAGCGACAAGCGGTAAACGGCATCGGATACGCACGGTCAAGATCTACAATTTTTACAAAAGTCATTTTCAGGTCAGGTCAAAGATGACGTCACAGGGGTCGAAAAAGTCCAAATGGCGGCGCTAGATATGGATAGAGTTTTTCTCGAATAACTTTCGAATTAGTCAAGATAGGAACAAACTAAGGGCATCATCGTGATCCTCCCGTCAATCCGCATCGAATGATATATGTTGACCTCGAAAGGTCAAGGTCAAAGGTTGACCTCAGGTCACGTGACCTCGAGGTCATCATGTACATAATTCGATGCGTCTTGACGAGCTGAACACAATGAGACCATCTGCGCGGCTGTATCTTGTTCCTGTACGGAGTTATTGGCCAAAAACCTTTGGTTAACTTTGATGACGTCACATGACCTCGCAGCTGCCCGACAGCAAAACAAACCTCAAGGTAGTGAAGGTTGATCGTATATGAAGTCATGTATGGTATATGGGGCCATTCCGACCCGTTTTAGTGGTAAAAATAGGGAGTTGATTTTTCCGCCATTGGCTTATCATGGGGATGTCGCGAAATTGACCTGACCTTAGGTCACCGATATCAAAATTCCGAGATAAACAAATTGTAGCTACTAATGACCTAATCACATCCTGCGACTTTCAAAGGCCTCCGACATTTACTGTAGCTCTGGCACGGTGACAAAGTTGCAAAAAAGTGACTTGAGGTTGGGTCATTCAAAGTGACCTGGTGACCTGACGTTAAAAGGTAGGAGGTTCAATCTTGCACACCATGTGTAAAATTGATGAGGGAATAGTCTTACTAAATTTCGCGGCGCTACGCGCCGCGGTTTTCCCGGTATTCGCGAAAAACCTCAGGGGGAGGTGGCGGATATCCGCCCCCCGTCGGTGCGCGGGATAAGGTGGGAGGGTCCCTTTAACGGGGGAGAGGGCATGGGTGGCGGAACGGGGAGGGGAGGGGGCACCGGGGAACCGTGCACCCTTGATTTCGGCATTAGCCCTACGGGCGTTGCATGGAAAGAATGGGACCAAAAGTCGGCAATACCCCTCCCCCCGCCCCCCACCTTAATTAAAGGTGTTCCGCGCTACTGCAAGGGGGCAAATGTCCCGCAGTGGCTGCCAGTTGCCCCTGCAGTGACGAGATTTTGCCCATCCTGTTGGAGTGAATACCTAACACGCGCCCCAGTGGCAGACTCAGCCAACTTTGCCCTAGTGGGGGGGGGGGGGGTGGGGGGGCATATGTTACCACCCACCTCTAACTCAAAACCTAAGAGGGCTAGAAAGACGCGGTAAAAAGCAGTCGATTGCTCTCAATGCGTACGTTTGAAAGTAATTCGGTTATTTTTCACCTTAGAGCAGTATTGGGGTCACCAGAGGTCATCAAAGGTCAAAATTTGTCAATTGTCATTATATTTTTCAGAAAACATGCCGCTATCTCAGGAACTATGGTAGCTACATAAACGCATGGAAAAGCAATCGATAGCTTTTGAACTCTTCTTTTGATAACGTTATTATCAAAATTGACCTCAGGTCAACGGTTTAGCCTCCAGAGGGCAAATCTCCAAAAATAGCTGTTTTTACGAAAAGTGTTTTTCGACAATAGCTTTCGACTACCAAAGTCACGACATTTCGATTGCCAGAATCGTGTTCCCCTCGCCGAGACGCGTCGAATGAACTATTTTTTGACCTAGAAAGGTCAACTTGACCTCAGGTCAAGGTCATGACCTGACCGGAAAAGGTCATGTTGCATATCAGTCGATGCGTCTCAACAAGACGAACACAATGAGACCATCCCCAGCGTACTATCTCGTTCCAATCGCGAGTTATTGGCAAAAAACTGTTTGTGGCCTCAAATGACCTCGGATGACCTTTCTAGAGGCTATCAGCAAAAATGACACCTTGGTCATCACGAGTGTACTAAATCATTGTGATTCTGAAATATTTGGACTGTTCCTATACGTACACACGGATTAGCTCGGCATTTTCATTTTTTTCCATTGACTTGTAATGGAAAGGTCACGCCACTGACCTGACCTTAGGTCACGGATATAAAAAATCCGAGATATGCAAATTATAGGCGCCCATAACAGCATGCAATCCACCAAGTTTAACCCTCGCATGTGTGCGGCGTTTGCCAGCTTCTAATGTGTAGGGGCCGGGGGGGGGGGGGTCGGTTGGACCCCCCCTTGCCGTTTGGCCCCTGATCGAGCTAGAGCTTCGCGGAAAAAAACGAGCGTGTTGCCCGTGACGAGAGGAAGCCGATGATACCCAATTTTAAGGTCCTAGGTCATTGGTTGACCTTCCAGGTCAGGTCAATGACCCAAAGTCGGGAACATCGGGACCTATTAGAAAGTTGTAAAGTGTGGCTGCTAAGGGGGTTTTCGGGGTGCTGATCACGAATATCGTGTTAGTTTTGATAACAGATGATGTCTTTAAGCATTTAGACCAGGTCGGGTCAGGTCAGGTCAGGTCAACCAGCAGGGGTTGTGACGGGTATTCGTAGTACGTGTCAACCGCCTCTGCCAGCTTCGTCACATGTTACGAAGGCACCAAAACTACTTCGTAAATGTTCAAATGGTTGCTAAATTCGAATTCAGCTCCAAAAACTAGCCTAGAAACATGTAAAACTCGAAAAAGTGAACCGAGGTCACCCGGGGTCACCAAAGGTCAATGACCTGACCTGACCTTCAGGTGACCTTGACACCCACCCTATTGCATGGGAGCAGCATCAAATCACATGTTTGAACGTTTGAAACCACGAAAAGCTTGTAAACGCGCGGCTAATGCGAGCCGACATACGCGGAATCGCGATTTCGGCCAAACATGATCTCGAAAAAGAGGTCACAGGTCAAAGGTCATTTGGGTCAGGGTCATGAAATTTTCAGGGTAGGTGTAAAATTGATCAATGCGAAGGTACTGTAAGTTTCGTTGCGATCGGCCTTTTTTTACGCGAGTTATTCGCGAAAAACCATGGGGGGGTCCATCCGACCCCCCCTACACATGCTAGGGTTAACCCTATTCCTGGCGGGCTCCGCCGGGACAAGAAACTGGCGGGGTGGGCCGATTCGGCCCCCCTTCAGATCTCAAAAACTACACATCGCAGCGACAAACGGCGAACGGCGTTTGATAGGTCGTTTAAAGATCTACAACTTTTACATAAAATATTTTCAGGTCAGGTCAATATTGAGGTCACCAGAGGTCATCAACGATAAAATGTTTTGGAATTAGTTACCTATATAACTTTTAAACTAAGAAACATAGAGACATAAGACCAATACATTTTTTGTTGCTCTCGCCGAGGGGATGCGAAATAAGTATGTGATGACCTTCACAGGTCAATTTGAAATTTGACCTGAGGTCAAGGTCAGGTCATTCATCAATCAGGTTGTGGGGTATGGTCATGCTGCATACCAAACGACGCGCCTTGACCAGGCGAGCAGTTTGGTACCACTTACAACTTACAAGTCTTTTGCACCATCATGTCGTGATTTATTGACAGAAAAACTATTTATGACGTCACATGACCTCAGATGACCTTTGCCGGTGCCCATGTCAATTAGCGGCACCAGGATCATCACCGATGAGATAATCTTCCATAATACTGAAAGAATTGGGTGGTTTTGACTCGTTTACACGAAGCAGGAGGCGTTTCAATATCAATCATCGTCTGACTCCATCTCGATCAAACGCAGCATCCGGTTTCTACAGGGGCGTTTGACTGACCGGCCACACAATAACCAAAAACAAAATCAAAGCTTCATGCACACATAAGTAAGAAACGGATGAAAAAGGCACAACCACGGCACAACTCTGCGCGGCGAACAACGGACAATGTCCCACGCAAGATCCCGCGTTTCTTCAGCGGCCTTGAACGGAATGAAAACATTACATTTCTTTTTTGGAGCTATTTGATGACGTCAAAAAATACAATACCCGTTTTAATGGTCAAAATCGAGACAATTACTCACAAAAATGTTTCCCTTTAAGCATTACAAATAAATACTTTTAAATATTTAAATGACATTGTTTTTTCAAACAAACCAATATTATTTGCTTACTTAACCCTCGCCGGCCGAGGGGGGGGGCGGGTGCCGCCCCCCCCATAGGGTTTTTTCGCGATAGCTCCGAACACGCTGGCGATAGAGAGCTGAAACTTGGCATACCTGACCTTTGATCCAAGCCGGATCTTATGACACCAACCGCATTTTTGGGTCAGGTCAGGTCACTGACCTATGACGTCATAAGTGAACCTCTGCACGGTCTTCAGATGTCGCAACTTTGCAACGCCCTCACTGCCAGAGGAGATGTCACAGGAAAATGAAACTTGCAGGATCTAGTATCCATTATGAGTTTCACAACTTGTATATCTCGGATTTTTCCTAAAGGTCATATGAGGTCAGGTCATTTTCGTGACCTCACCATTATAAGTCAATGGGGAAAAATGAAAACTGCTATTCTGGCGCCGGGAACGATCTCCAACGATCTCAAGCGCACAGAATCGTGATTTGATGCACTCCTTGCAAGGTTAGATGCGTCACTTTTGCAATGTTGACCTTGCGTGACGTCATTTATGACGTCATCAAGGTCATATTAGTTTTTCGTCAATAACTCTTGATCAAATTGAGCTAGCGAGTCGGGAAAGCCACCAATGGACTCAGGAAGACCTGCCGAATCGAATGATATGCGACATGACCTCTTTCGAACAACTTCGAGACCTTGGGGTGCTGACCTGACCTTGACCTGAGGTCAACACCCCAAGTTGACCTGACCCGAACAAAAAGTATATCATTCGACGCGCCTGAGCGAGGCAAACACGATGCTGCCAAAATCGCGGCTCTGCGACCGTTTTTTGCGAAGTTATTCACCAAAAACTGAACCGTACCTTGGGGCACTTGACCTGACCTCAGAGGTCACCGGTTGACCTAGGACCTTAAAATCGGGTACCAATCTCTGCGTCTCGTAACGGCGCACACGCTCGTTTTTTCCGCGACGCGCTAGCTCCACCAGGGGCGAAACGGCGAGGGGGGGGTCGTACCCGCCCCCCCCCTCGGCCGGCGCGTATGTAGAAAACCAATAGGTCCGGCGAGGGTACTGTAAAAACACTTCTCATTGATCCGTATAAAATGTTCATTTGATTTTAAATGCGGACAGAGAATGAGAGTGCTCGGTGATAAGTAGACAAATATTTGTGTTTTGTATTTCATTTTCCTGGGTCAGAAGTGCTGGTATTTCACAAAGATATAAAGGCACGGAATGCAGCTTTTCTGAGCGAGGGTATAAGTCGTTAGGCTGAACAGTTATTCAGCTTCATGTTTGATGGCGTCAAACTCAGTCAAAATCGTGACGTTTACATACGATCAAGCGCACCATTCAATACACTTACCTACCGTAAAACTCCATGCCAGTCCACTTGATAAGAGCAGTGAGCACTATCCCTTCTTCGCGCTGTCACACGCGCCCAAACATCAACCACCAAATACCCCAACACCGGTGTGTCGTTTCGTCGCACAGCGCACAGACTGTCACAAATGCTGCACATGATTGGCGCAGAACTGCGCATGCGCGAACAGCCGAACAAGTATGGCTAAGCTCCGGCTTTACTCCAGTTAGCCGAAGGACACAGCCAGCTTGATCAGCCCGCGCTCCGCCCAAGTTAAGCCTGTTTTGGATGCGCGGGCAGATGTCGGGCTGAGCTACTGCTATCCGCACGTGGGCATAGCTGCGGCATGCCCCAGCTCAGCCCTAGTAAAAAATACATTGGTTTTGATCAAAGTGGGCAAACCCAAGCTAAGCCTAAGCTGCCCGACGCTTGCCACAGTTCAGCCCAAGCGAATTGCTGGCTGGGAGACTACAAATTTTAAATTTCAATAAACATAATTTTCTTAACTTTTTTTTAGATTTTGAAAATCCGAGATAGCAGTTTGATAGCGCTGTCCATTCTGAGTCCTCTCATGCAAAGAAATTGGACCTAGCTCACAAACTGAGCTCTTGGGAGCGATTCCCGTGGTTCAATGTTTTGCATCGAAATCGGCCGAACATGACGTCACTCTGACGTCATTTCCGGCCGACCTATGATAGATACGAAGTTGAAATTAAAAAAAGTGTCAAATTGATGCAGCCGAAGGTACTGAAAGTTTGGCGGCGATACGTCAAGCGGTTTAAAAGTGATTGCAGAAAAACGGGAGGGGGCTATGAATAGCCCCCCAGTGGGTCGCGGATTGAAGGTGTTGACCTCGGGTCGAGGTCAGGACAGTGGTCTAATCGTGCGCAGGGAGAAGAGACCTGGGATGGAACTTTCACATTAGAGAAATAAATTAGGGTTTTTTGACTACCATGAAACGTCACGGATGTATGTATGTGTTTATGATTGTTGTGCCCTATCCAAGGAATGACACTTTCTGGCGGACCTGAGGGTGTGGCTGACCCGAGACCTGTACCTTCCGCTCAGGAGGTGCGTCCCCTCATGGACCGCCTGTACGACGAGCTGCAGGGTCTGAAGGAAGCCGTCATAACTCTGATTGGACAGCAGTCGCCGCCGGCGGCCGGCCCGCACACCCGGCCGCAGAGTTCCGCAGAGCTGCGGGACGCGGTGCTGGCCGACGCTCGCGGCATGCTGGGCGAGGAGCTGCGGCAGCTGCGCCGAGAGCTGCAGGAGCTGAGCGTGAGTCAGGGGGACGGCGATTCAGGCCCACTGGGACGGAGCGCTGCTGGCCCGTCAAACCCGGTAGTGGGTGGCCTGTGCAGTCACAACAATGTCCGACCGCATCATCAATGGCAGAGACCTTCACTGTGCTGACGACCATGTTTATCTCACATCCTTGTTGATTTAACCATCGCCGGTATGTTGTGTTGGATCTCATCGCATTGCGAGGATCGATAAGTTTTGTGCATTTTCTGGCGTATCGTGCCCCTAAATAGTGTCCCGTTGTCACTGATGTCTCCAGCTCTGACACTCCTTTTGCCCATTCGGCAGCTGGAGGTGGCCCAGATGAGGAACCCAAAGCAGCTGGAGGCGCAGGCGGCACCACAGCTGCAGCAGCTCCCCATACCGCAGCTGTTTTCCTGCGGTGGCAAGGCCCCCTCCACGGCGGCTCCCACCATCTTCGGGTTGGGGTTCAGTAAGAAGACGCCCGCTACCCGGACGGTCTCCGGCACGGACGGCGGTCTCAGGTTCGGCAAGGCACCGTCGGCCTGGACTGGCTGTACCACGACTGGCGCCTCTGCTGCCGCCTCCACTGGCTTCAGCTTTGGACCGACCACAGCGCCACCTGCTCAGCCGAGCACGCCGAGCTTCTCGTTCCGTCCGCCGACCGCCGAGGGCGCCACCAGCACACCGGCAAAGGTCAGTCAGTCAGAACACAAACCGTCCGCCAGCTACGAACGATGCTCCCAGGGCTCACTACCTTTCCCGAGGCACGTGGATAATAGTTTCTCGCCCCACTCTGTCCATCACTATTGTCTGCCCATAGAATAGTACCACACTCTCCATTTCGTCGCCAGTTCGCCTGCTAACCTTGCTCATGGAATGTTCAGCTTATAGTGACTATATCTGCCTCTATCGATATCCGCACCGTTCCATCGTTTCCATCCTCAGGATAGTCAAATCCTTCTCCTCCACGCCGCAACCGCCTGATCCGGGCTGGACGGGCAACTTTATCCCATGCGGGATTGCCCGTAAGCCGAGCACCGCCCGTAGCCGGGTGCGTTGAGTGCTTGGGGGAGCCCCTGATGGGGTAACTTTCAGTCTACCCCGGCGCTGCCGGGGTAACCTTTTCCACTCGAGTGGAAAAGGATTTACCTTTTTAGGATTTACCAGAGTGCACTCTGGTAAATCCTAAAAGCAGTCTCCGTACTAAATAAACTGTCACCTATAAAAGTGTCTCTCATTTTTCTTATCTTCCATAAAAGTTTTTGAAAATTTACTTTATTTTGATTTTGGAGCTTCCATGTACTGAAATCTGTTCATCGCTTAGTCCGACAAGTTTCATCAAACAGAATTAAATCATATTTAACCCTCGCCCGTATTGGTGTTCTTTCCAGCCGCGAACGTATAAGGGGGGGGGGTCCGTTGGACCCCCCTTGCCGTTTCGCCCCTTATCGAGCTAGAGCTTCGCGGAAAAAAACGAGCGTGTTGCCCGTGACGAGAGGAAGCCGATGATACCAAATTTTACGGTGCTAGGTCATCGGTTGATCTTCCAGGTCAGGTCAATGGCCCAAAAGTCGGGAAAATCGGGACCTGTTAGAAAATGGTCATGTCTCCACTTTGATAGCAGCCGACACATCTCGTGCCTTTGATAGCATAGAACATGTAAGACTGTTAGATAAATTAGGTTGGTACGGTGTAGACAAACATTGGTTCGAGGACTGGCTGAGGAACAGGACTCAGAGCATTCAGGGTAGCCGCGCCGGGACACTGCCAGTGACGCACGGTGCAATACAGGGCTCACTAATCGGCCCAAAGCTGTATTTACTATTTACTAACGATCTGACGGCTCATTTACCTTTTGGCAAGCAGGTGACATACGCAGATGACGTACAGTTTTTAGATTGCGACTCAGTTGAAAATTTAGCATGTCTTAAAGAGCGCGTTGAAGGCACACTTGATGTGGCACTTCTTTGGTTTACGCAAAACCGGCTTAAAGTGAATCCAAGCAAAACTGAACTTTTGATAGTCAAACCAAAGAAGAAGAAGAAGTGTACTTCCTTTAGCATAAGATTTGGCGATGCAGATCTAAGTCCTTCACCATTTGCAAAAATCCTCGGTTTATTTGTTGACTCTGAATTATCATGGGAAAAACAAGTATCTCAGGTTGTTCGCCGCTGTTTCTTCGTTCTCGTTGGTCTCTCTAAGATAAGACACAGGTTGCCCTTTGAAACAAAAAAGTTACTGATTGAGGCGCTCGTGTTTCCCCATTTGCATTACTGCTTAACGGTATGGGGCAGCTGTTCTGTTACTCTCCGCCAGCGAGTGCAAAAGGCTATAGATTTTGGAGCCCGTATAGTTACTGGCTTGTCCCGGCGTGAGCACGTCACTCCCGCCCTGGAGTCGTTGGGGTGGCAGCGTCTTGACGGTATGTTAGAGGAGAGGGACGCGGCCATGCTGCGCAGGCTGATGTCGTCCGGGGCGCCTCCGGCGTTGGCCGATCTAGTGCGCAGTCGCTCTGAGGTGTCAGTCAGGGCCACTCGCGGTGTGTGCGCTGGTCAATTGGAGCTCCCTAGAGTAAGGACCGAGCGTGGAAAACGTACTTTTCCGTACAGAGCCGTGTCTGTTTGGAATGCTGGGTGCATGAATCGTCTGTGACTCGTGTACCTACACGTTTGATGAGTGCTATTTTAGGACATATTTTTAGATAGTTATGTGTTCATCTTTTTTACAACTTGTATTGACGAGAGGGCAGAAAAGCCATGTTTTATGGAGCTCTTAACCCGCGCCGGGCCGGGGGGGGTGTTTGAACACCCCCCCCCCCCTGCGGTTTTTCGCAGATATCTCAAAAACGGCGGCGCGGAGCGCCGCCGTTTTTGGCACACCTGTTTGTGCATCTTTTCCGCACATGTTGTGAAAATTTCAGACCCAGGTCACCTTAGGTCAGGTCACCAGGTCACGCTAAGTGACCTCACCTCAGAAAAAATAAGAATGCTCGTCATAGCTACACCGATTGATTGATTGCCTTGAAACTTTCAGCGATTGATTAGAGCAACAATATCTATAAATGTATATCTCGGAATTTTGATATCGGTGACCTAAGGTCAGGTCAATTTTGCGACCTCTCCATTATAAGTCAATGGGAGAAAATTGAAAAGCGTCTGTTTTGCACGAACGTTATTCTAGACACTCTCAAACATCGAGATGTAGGTAAAATGGACACACTGAACCGGAAAATGGCAACTGTGACCCCTCGTTATGTCCCCGAGGTCATCTCAGGTCACGAACAGAATCTAACAGTTTTTCGCTAATAACTTCTGATAGAGACGTGCTAGAGCGCTGAAAACGCCTTAGATGTGTTCGGCCCGACGTTGCGGATCGACTGATATGCAACATGACCTTTTCCGGTCAGGTCATGACCTTGACCTGAGGTCAAATTTTCAAGTTGACCTTTCAAGGTCAAATTATAGTTCATTCGACGCGTCTCGACGAGAGGAACACGATGGTGGCAAAAGTAATGTCATGACTCTTTTGAGTCAAAAGTTATTACCGAAAAAACGTTTTTCGTAAAAACGGCTATTTTTGAAGTTTTTGCCCCCTGGAGGCTAAACCGTTGACCTGAGGTCAAATCTGAGAACATTACTCAGAAAGGTCTGTAAAAGGGCTATCGAATGCGCTTTTCCGCGGCGCTGTAGCTCTATCGGTTCCCGAGATAGCCGTTGGCAGTTTCCAAAATGTTGAAATAGTGGACATTTGACCTTTGGTGACCTCTGGTGACCTGACCTTTGACCTGACCCAAAAAATGACCGAAGTGTTTTCGTCCTTATTTTGGACGTTCTTTCGATTGCCGCTTACCGCGTGTCGCTACGTGGCCCAGGAGCCGAGTTAGAAGGGGGGGTGTTCAGACACCCCCCCCCCCCGGCCCGGCGCGGAATCTCAGAGCACCGGCCCGGCGCGGGTTAATAAACCTGACTATGACTATGACTTTGACTATGAAAGTCGTAAAGCGTGGCTGCTATGGGGTTTTTCGGGGTGCTGATCACGAATATCATGTTAGTTTTGATCACAGATGATGTCTTCATGCATTTAGGCCAGGTCGGTCGGGTCAGGTCAGGTCATGCCAACCAGTAAGGGTATTCGTAGTAGGTGGCAACCGCCTCTGACAGCTTCGTAACATGTTACGAAGGTGCCAAAACTACTTCGTAAATGTTCATATGGTTGCTAAATTCGAATTCAGCTCCAAAAACTGGCCTAGAAACATGTAAAACTCGGAAAAGTGAACCGAGGTCATCGAAGGTCAATGACCTTCGTCAATGACCGAAGGTCAATGACAATGACGTCTCAAAGCTCTCATCAAGCTCCGCAACAGGGCTCACAGCCGACGCCAATTCAGCAGGCTCAAACAGCTACGAGACAAGGTCCGAGCAGAAATTTCATTCGCAAAAACTCGATGGTATAAAAACCAGATGGACAAGATTACGTCAGACAAAGGAGTATCCTGGTATAAACATGTATCCAGATTAACAAATCGTCAACCCAAGCCATGGCATTTCAAGTCGCCTGAAAACTTGGACAGTGGGGGCTGTGCTGAGCTCATAAACAACCATTTTACTCAAATATGCACAACCTATGATAGTCTACAAACAGACCAGCTACCCTGCTATCTACCTGCGCAAGAAATAACTTTCAGGTTGCAACCCTGGCAAGTATCAGGCAGCTTGTGTAGACTGAGACAGCAAATGGCGGTGCCGGTAGGCCAGCTCCCAATACGGCTACTGAAGGAGTTCTCAGTTGAACTGGCTATTCCCTTGACTCATATATTCAACAGGTCATTACAACAGGGAGAAGTGCCATTGGTTTGGAAGAGAGCAACGATCACACCAGTGCCCAAGAAACCCATCCCTACTTCACCTGGGGATCTGCGACCGCTGAGTCTCACACCGACGTTTAGTAAAGTACTGGAACAGTTTATAGTACCGCTCATTCTGGATGACATTAAAGCAAGCATTGACGTCCGACAGTATGGGAACATGAAGGGGTCATCTACCTGTCACTACTTGATCCGATTGATCCATGAGCTCCTCACCCAGCTAGACCATCATGACAAGCTGTTCTCCATTATCATGTACGATTTTAAGAAGGGATTTGATCTTATAGATCACACAACAGTTATTCAGAAATTTCTGGAGATGGGACTACGGCCTGCATATGTCAAGTGGCTCTCGTCGTTCCTCCAAGATCGGCAGCAGCGGGTTAAGATGACAGATGGAAGCCTCAGTTCCTGGACACAGATTACGTGCGGTACCCCCCAAGGCACATTGGTTGGGCCGGTAGCCTTCCTAGCTATGGTGAATGGCGCTGCTTCACAGACAAATAACAGACTCAAGTATGTGGACGATTTAACCATATATCAAGCGTGCTCAGTAGATGACGTACAAAGAGAAAATGAGCTTCAGGAGATAACGGATGAACTATGTGAATGGGCAAATCGAAGCAAGATGGTACTTAACACTGATAAGTGCCAGATAATGCATTTTTGCACGGCCAAGAAGCCGTTAGTATTGCCCGACATTTCGATAAACGGCTCGAGCGTTTGCATGGTGGACCAAGTAAAGCTACTTGGCGTCACCATATCTAATGAACTGTCATGGAACCCACACGTTGCGGGCATGGTATCGAAGGGGTCAAAGGCGCTTTAC